CCAGCAGCTCCTCCCTGCTTCTGGCCCCAAGACTCCCTTCACGCTGGTTAGGGGGCACACGGCCTCACCCCATGGTCACTCATGGCCCCGGAGACCTGGGCAGCTCAGGGGCCGGTTCTCCCCAAGTGAGAACTGATGCGGGCAGCCCGACCACGGATGACACAGCGACCTCTCACTTGGGTCCCCACAGGCCATGCCCGTCTGCACAGAGCTCAGGCCCCCTGCAGGTGGGCCCCCCCACTTCCTGACCTGATCCCCCCTGAGTAAAGGGGTGCCTCCTCTGCCCAGAGAGCAGGCAAGCAGGACGGCAGCTAGGCTCCCGGGGACCCCCGTGCCTGGGTCCTCTCCTGCAGGCTCCTGGGGGCTCCCCACCTCTCTCGAGCCCCCCAAGTGGCAGTCAGGGTTCTCTGTTCTTTCAGCAAGAGGAAGCTGATGGCAATGGCTCTGTCTGGGTCTGCGTGGCTGCCACTTCTGGAGACTCAAAGCCGGCCCCCAGCTGCTCTGAGCCTCTGGGACTCGCCATCCCTGTCCCAAGACCCAGGTCCCCTGGGGGACAGAGAGGGCCCAGGAAGGGAGGACCTGAGGGCAAGTTCTGTGAAGACCCTTCGGTCTCCCTAGGGAAGACAGAGCACGGAGGCACCGGTCACCAGCAGACAGTCCCCACGCCCTCCTCCCCCAGCCCTGCAGGACAACGGGAGACGAGGCCACGGGGAGCAGGTGCAGGGAGCCCCCAGGCCTTCCACCCCCTCCAAGTCCCCCTTCGGGGGACAGTCAGACCCCCCTCTGGACCCCAGGGGCACTCTGACGCCTACCCAGGGACAGACCCTGGGCTGAGGGTGCCACGGAGAAGGCCCTATTCGATGCTGCCTCTCCTCCCCAGCCCCTAGGTTGAGTCCCAGGCCCCCCCAGACCCCAAGCTCACTGGGTGACCTTGGGCTTGGGACTGCTCCCCAGGAGGGGGGCATAGGGTCCACAAGACCCCGGAGAGCAGCCTGCCCTACCACGCCCTCCTGCCTCCTGCACCCCCCCCCGTGGGCTGAGACCCAGGCCCCCACTTCCTGAGCACTACCAGGCCACCAGCTAATGAAGGGTGGGGAGGTCCCACCAGGAGGCTCCCCAAACCCGCACAGCCAGAGAGAGTCCCTCCCTGCACATCCCATCTCAGGGCTCCAGCCCCAGTAGACACTGGACCCAGGATAGGAGGGGCACGGGAGGCGGCCGCAGGAGCCTGCCCAGTGCCCACGGTCGCGCCCTGCTCAGGGCCAGCAGACACGGGGCCCGGCGACCGTCCTTCACCACCGCTTCCGGTACCGGCGCTTTGTCCCGCCGGCAGACATGCACCACCAGACTGACCCACGCACTCTGCCAAGGCCAGCAGAGCCAGGCCCCAGGGCAGCAAGGGTTAGCCTCAGGACATCCCTGACACCCGGAGCTGCGTGTGGGCTCGTCAACACAGTGCTCAGGGGCTGGCGGGGAAGCCCCAGGCCTCACTCAGTCCCGGGCACTCACCGAAGCACACGCAGGCTCCAGGTCCTGGGGGGGGGGGCAGGGAACGGACACGTCCTCCCTCTATTTTGGAGCCTACTCAAGCCAATACATCATCCTGGTACTCGCGCTGGGGGTGTGGGCGTCCACCTCCAGCCCTGCGTACCCGGGACCAGGGTCCCAGGACTGGATCCTGGCTCAGCGTCCACACCTGCCCTTTCGGGAAAGGTGGTGTCCCCCTCGGCCCCTGCTGTTCAATTCCAGGCTGAGACTTTTGGGGGCCGCGGGCCCAGATGGGAAAGATGCATGTTCGTGTAAGCAAGGAACCTCGGCTCGCCTGACAGACGCGCCGGGCAGAGGCCAGCAAGCTCTGGGAAAGCCCCGGTCACTTCCCCCGGCCCCCCACCCCGCCCCCGACCTCGGAGGGCTCAGGCCCGGGGCCGCGGGACCCTCGCTCCACAGGCCCCGCCCCCCACGTGGAGCTCGGGACCGACCCGGAACCCGGAGCCTCGCACCTGCGGCCGCGGACAGGCCCCTTGGCCGAAACACCCCATTTCACAGGCACAGAGAGCGAGGCTCCGCCAATTGCCGCCCCAAGGTCGCGCGGGTCCCCGCGTCGGCGGCCCGCTGGACCCCCACCCGGGTCGCACGCAGGCGGCCTGCCGCTAACGAGGGTCTTCAGAGCCGAGCGAGGGGAGACGGGGCCGCCGGGGGGCACCTACCAAGTCGGCGCCCCGCGCTCCCGTCGGCCCCGCACCCCGCGCACGGCCGGAGGGGAGACCCCGGGGGCAGCCGAGCTCCGGCCGACACGCGCGGGCGCGCCCCGGGGAGCGCTCGGGCGGCGGCCACGGGGCTGCGGAGGGGACGGAGGCGCTCGGGCCGCGCGAGGCAAGGCGACCCCGGCCCGGCCCCGCGCGCCCCCCGCGCCGCCGCCAAGTTCCTCCAACTTCGCCCGCTGCGCTCGGCCGCGCGCCGGGCCCGGGGCGCGGGGGGCGCGCGGGGCCGGGACGGGGTCGCCCCCGGGGCCGGGGCCGCGCGCTTACCTGCCACCCGGCCGCCGGCGCCGTCCTTCCAGCTCCAACTTCGCCGGCGGATTGAGATTCCGCCCCGGCTGCGCCCATCGATCGGCCCCGCCCCTCGCCCGCGGGGGGGCCCTGCCCGCGCCTCCCCTCGCCGCTCCCTCCCTGCCCGCCCCGCGGCTGCCCGCGCTGCCCGCGCCCCTCCGCCCGGCTCTCCCTCCACCGCCGCGCAGCTGCCGGGGGCGCGAGGAGCGCCGAGGTCCTGGGGAGCGCGGGGAGGGGGCCGGGGTCCGCTCGGGGTCGGGGACGCTCGGTGCGGCGCGCGCCGCGACTCCCCACGCACGGAGCAGAGCCGAGGCACCGGCTCTCAGGCCGGGGGAGGGGGCGCCGGGAGAAGGCGGGGTCCGTGGCTCGGGGAACGCCCCCTGCGCGCCCTGGGGGTTGAAGAGGCGGCTCTGGGACTTTCCTCCCACTCCAGGGACCCTCCCACCTTCGCGGCCCGAGCCCCCTGCCCCGAAACGGGGGTCCGAAACGGAGTCCGGCAGGGTCCAGGGACCGGCGCTCCGCCGTCTTCCTGGAGGATCCTGTGGGGGGGTCGGGCTGAGCAGGCGCTGCGGGGACCCCCCCCATCGGGATCCCGTCCCGCTGGGGTCCCCGCCCCCCACGCCCCTCTCCGCTTCCCGCCCCTCCCGCCCGCGCCTCAGTACCCTCCGCACGCTCTGCGCTCGGTTCGGTCCGGCCGGCAGCTGGGCTGTCCACCCCGCATACCAAAGAGCTGCCTCCGTTCACAGGCCACCGAGCCGAGCCTCCCCGACCGAGCGGGCGCCGGGCAGGGCTGCGGCCAGCGGTCCCCGCACTCCCCCGCCTCCAGGCAGAGCTCGGGCAGCCGGGGCTCCGCGCACGCCTCTGCTCGGCCAGAGGTGGGGAGCAGCCACCCGCGGGGCGCCCCGGACCTCCGCGCAGGTCGGAGCATCTGGGGAAGGTGCCTCTGCGCGGCGGGTCAAGGGCAGGGCCGCCCTGTGACCCCCGTTCCCGCAGGAGAAAGGGAGGACGGGCCGGCTCAGAGCTGGAAGGTCCCCGGGAAGCCCAGCCCGGGAGGGGGAGGCGGCCCACGACCCCCGCTGCGGCCGGCGCTCTCCCAGCGCGCGCCCAGACAGCAGCGGGCTGCAGGCACGGCTCGGGTTGTGGCGGGCTCCCGAGGGCAAGGGTCCTGGGCGGGGGCTCAGGGCGGCAGGGCGCGGGGTCCGAGACCCCGGGCCGCCCCTCCCCCGTGGCCGCGCCACCCCGTGGCCTGGTGTAGCCATGGACGCGGCCAGCGGGAACCGCGCCGCCCCGCGGACACCTCCGGGACCCCCGGCCGCTCCACGCCCCCAGCCCCCGTGCAGAGTTCACAGGAGGGGACGGAGGCGACCCTCAGCGCCGAGATCAAGGGCCCCAAAGTACTCGGGAGCTGGATCCTGCCGTGGGCCGAAAGGAGAAACGCACCCCCAGAGCCCCCTCTCCCAAACCCCAAACGCCTCGAAGCGGTCGGAGGGGCGTAGGGTGGAAGGGGCTGAACAGTGGGGCGCGGGGCGGCTATTCCCCAGGCCCCGGGGAGCGGGCGCGGGCCGGGACCGTCGGGACTGGGCAGGACGCCGGAACTGGCCGCCGGCCGGCCCTGGCTGATGGAGTGGCCACAGGCTCACCCGGTAGTTTGGGGAGCGGGAAAGTTGGGGGACGCACACCCCGAGACCAGAGAGGAAGGAGCGTGGGAGGAGCGCGGGGTGGGGCGCTGAGGAGGGAACGGGGGCTGTGAAGACGGGGGTCGCACCTGGCCGAGCCCGCTTCCGGCTTTCCCGCCTAGCCGCCCGCCCGCCCGCCGCAGGCTGGGACGCAGACGCCTAAATATAGCCAGGCGCTGCTCCCCGGCCGGTGCTCCCCAGGCGCTGCTCCCGGGCCGGTGACCCCCATCGGCTGCCTGAGGGAATGGGGGCTCCGGCGGGCGGGCGCTGAGCCCCCGCGCGCAGCTGGAGACCTCAGTCCTGCCCTGTCCATCCTCGGCCAGGAACGGGGATCAAGGGTCGGGGAGGCGAGGCAGTCTCGGGATCGTCATGCCACGACCCCCGGCTGCGTGGGTAGCCGGCGCCGCCCCTTCCCCGCTCTCCGCTCCCCGCCGTTCGCTTTCCGAACGCTCAGGAAAGTTTCGGGGTCCCCGCGGGGTCCGGCTCCCCCAGCCACGGCGGCGTCGGGAGGGAAGTTTGTCCGGCTTGGGCTCGGCCACCGCGAACTTCGGGTGCGTCGGTCCGGACCCAGGGACCCTCGGACCGCACGCACTGGCGACCCAAAACCGAGTCTCAGACGCTGAGACGGGTCGCGGGGGCTGCGCGTGCCGCTAGGGACCCCGTTCCCGCCCCCAGCACCGCCGCGGGGGCCGGGGCTTCACCAGCCGCCACGCCGCTGCGGCACGGGGACCCCGCCCCCCGCAGCCCCCGCAGCCCCCGCGCGCGACCCTCTTACCTGCCCGGCTGCGGGCGGGGCGGTGCGCGCGCCTGGTCCCCAAGCGCGGCGGCGCGGCGTGGCTCGCGCCTTCCTCCTCCTCCTCCTCCTCCTCCTCCTCCTCCTCCTCCTCCTCCTGCTCCCGGGTGCTCGCCGGCCCCAGCCCGCCCCTCCCCCGCCGCCCGCCCCCCGGAGCCGCCGCCGGCGCCCGGAGCCAGCCGAGCCGGCCCGAGCCGGGCTGCGGCGCTCACTGCGTCAAGCGCAGGGCGAGCTCGGGACCGGCGGGGCAGGCGGGGCGGCGGCGCGGGGGGCGCGGGCTCGGGCTCGGGCTCCGGCTCCTGCTCCGGCTCGGGCTCGGGTTCGGGGAGGGATGGAGGGGCAGGGACAGCTGGCGGGGGCACCGGGCGGGGCCCGGCCGGCCCGAGAGTGGTCCGGGGCCGAAGCCGACACGTGCCCGGGGCTGGCCGCGCCCCCTCCCACGGGCCCGCACCCGGCCCTGGAGGCCCCCGAGCCCGGCCCGGGCGGGAGCGCGCCGCGGCCCGACATGGACCCTCGAGAAAGTGGACACGAAGCCGGACCCGAGAGGACAGGCGCGGGCCGGGCCGGGGAGGGGGTCGCGCCCGCGCGCGGACCCCGTCCAGCCGGGCCCGGAGCCGCCCTCAGGGTCACCCCACCTGGGTCTCGGCCGCTGCCCCTGGGTGCCCAGGCCGGCCACCAGCGGCCACGCCCGCATCGCGGCCGCGAAAGCCCCGAAGCGGCGAGCGAGCGCCCCCGGCCGGCCACGGCCCGCGCGCGAGTCCCGGAGCGGTCCGAGCTCCCGAGACCGCCCCGCGCCGCCCCGCTGCCCAGGAGAGGGGCGGCTGGAGGGACCCCCGGGACTACAGATGGGCCCGAGGGAGGGTCGTGCCGCTCCCGGCCGCTGTTCCTGCGCGCGCCCCGCGACCTCCACCTGCGGCCAGAGGGCTCCGGGCCTCGTCAGGGACGGCCGTCCAAGAATCCCGCCCTGAGTCCCTACAGCCAGGACCCGCGCACAGGCTGTCCTGCCGCTGCCCCGACGAAGGTGCCCCCTTCTCCTTCCGAGGCCCAGGGCGGACCTGGCTCCCCTGCCCTGCTCTCCACCCCACCCCGCTCTTGCAGCCGGGAACCACAGTGGAACCCTCAGAGGCCTACTGGACAGTGCCCCCCTTCCAGCCACTGGGCCGACACACCCCCGGGACCCTGACCTGCATGGCATGGGGTTGACATCTCTGGCCTGGTGCTGAGACCAGGCCCATCTTTCTGGCTGCAGGAACGACTCTGCCCGCAGCCCCGGTCAGATTTACCCTGCCCAGAATCGTTTCTCTCTCCACCAAGCCAGGGGTCTCTACCGCCCAGACAGGCCCCTCACTGGAGCCCCAAAGCCCAGATCTTCCCTCTCATCCATTTCCGGGCTTCCTATAGGGGGTGCTGGACGCTCAGACAAGCCTTCGTCGGTGCTGATGGCACCATCCCAGGTCTCTGGGACTGATGCCCGCCTCTCTGGGGATAGGGTGCGAGTTCGCCTCCAAGGGCAGCATGTGGGTGTCTGAAGTCAGAGGTCCCGGCCCACCTGACCTCTGTGTCCTGCCCTGGGTGATGAATGTCTGGGTAGACCCCGCACTGGGCAGCCCTGTGGCATGTGACTCAGCCATTGCTGAGCCTGTGCTTGGTGCCCACCTGTCCATCCGCTCCCACACACAGTTCCAGGGTTGGTGGGAGGAGCCCGGGCCTCCATGAGAGGCCAGTGGTGCGTTCCCTGTCAGGGTACAGGATATATCCACGTGGTCAGGGACTGAGGTCACCCACAGGGGTACGGGGTACAGCGTGCCATGCTGGAGGAGCAACGGAGGCCTCTGTGAAGGTGTCATGCCACATGAGGGTTTGAGCTCTCTCCCCTGGTGCCCTCTGCCAGGCTCTCCCTGCTGGGACAGCCCTGGTACTGGGCGTGGCATCTCCTAGTTGTGGTGTGGTCATGGTTTGGACGTGGACACCACCCGCATCTTCGTGGGGACAGGCGATGGGAAATCATCCCGGTCAGGTTCCCAGGTGGCGAGGAGAAAGGCATCATAAGTGACGGTTTGATCAGAGTGCCGGGAACCTCCTGGAACCTCCTGAAGGGGGGTGCAGGGGTGGGTGCCATGAAAGGGTGCAGGGAGCGAGACCCTGAAGCAGGTGCAGTGGGCAGGAGCAGAAGCCCAGAGGTATCCTGGGGTGGGGCGCTGTGTGGTAAGCGGGGACTGCTGCTGGGGCAACAGGCCATGTGACACCCAGAAGACTGCAGGGCTGGGCTGGAGCAATAGCACAGCAGGGAGGGCGTTTGCCTTACATGCGACCGACCCGGGTTCGATTCCCAGCATCCCAAATGGTCCCCTGAACACCGCCAGGAGTAATTCCTGAGTGCATGAGCCCGGAATAGACCCTGTGCATCGCTGGGTGTGACCCCAAAACAAAAACAAACAAACAAAAAGACTTCAGGGCAGAGCCCCAGCCCCAGGCAGGGATAAATGATCAGGACAGACCGTCAGACAGATCCCTCTCTTGGAGCTGAATGATCCCCTGCAGCAGAACAGAATAGGCATGGGTGGGCAGGCCAGGCCTCTCAGGGGTCCTGCCCACTGGGGAGTCATGACCGCCTGCCCCCCCCCCAGCAGACGCCACACTCAGCTGTCCAGGGCAGATGTGACCCATCGTGGGTGAGGAGATGGGGGACAGGCGGGGAATAAGGGAGCACCCCATTTCTCAGCCAGTTCACGGACCCCAAATCCAGACCCCGAGGGGGCTTGAGGGATTCACCTCCTCCCAGTGAGTCTTTCCTGTGAGGCCCAGAGACCCCCAGCCGTGGAGAATCCCACACTCTGGGGGTGATGGGGCTGGGGGTCTGGTCTCACTCGGGAAGGCCCGGCAAGGAAGGGGGATGAAAAGAGGCAGGAGCATCGGAGGATGCGGCAGGGGTGTGGGCCAGGTGCAGTTCTGCCAGGATGGTGCAGGGCTTCCCGGGCCCAGGCTCAGGGCACCCCTAAAGCACATCTGTGAGTCTGAGGGTTCCTCTGGCCAAGAACGCTGCCTCTCTGGGGGCGTTTGGAGGATTTTGAGGAGAAGAGGCAGCTCCTTCCACTTGGTCCTGAGAACCTGCCCCCCCCACCCCCCGCACAAACTGGTGTCCAAGGTCCACCCAGCAGGGCACCCATGACCCAGCTCCAAACCATGGACCCTGCCCCCACTTCCTATGACCCCAGAGCCCTCCTGCCCAAGCTGTGCTCTGCTCTGAGGACCAATTACAATGTCTGGAGTTGATTAGATGCTGACACTGATGAACCCGAGGTAATTAGCAGAGAAAAGGCCCTTTTGATTAGTCCCACATTGCTCTCAATGATGCAAAGTTCACACCTGCGGGGGGGTGTGGGGGCTGAGGCACTTCTGGAATATTTATTTAAAATGGGAGTCTTTGCTTCCACGTGTGAAACTGGTTCATCTTCAAGCCCAGACTTGCTAGCGGGAAGACTGGACCAAGTAGGTTGGCCCCGAAAGAATCCCGTCATCTTCCTCCCCCAGCCACGAGCCACCCGGGAGAGGAGAGAGAGTGGGGTGGGGGGGAGAGTCCCCAGACCCTGCCCGCCAGTGCAGGCACAGCCTCCCCTCCCAGCCAGCCAAGGGACAGACAGCACCCACAGCTGGTGCACGTGGACTCAAGGTGTGGGAGGGCCTTGCCCACACCTGCCCCCACCACCCCTACCGTGCCCACATCACGAGACCCCACATCTGACCACCAGGGAGGGCACCATGAAACTCCCCAGTCTCAGGGTGGTCTCTGGGGCCTGGCCAGGAGTCCCCCAAAAGCCATGAGGGAGACCCCTGGTGGACAGTGGACAGATTCAGAGGCAGCAGCCCGCCTGCAGAGTGCCTAGGGGCCTGACAGGCAGGGGCTCAACCCTGGGGCTGTGTGCAACCACATGTGTGAGTGTGATTGCATACATGTAAATGTGCCGGTGTGTGCCGTTGTGCCCTGAGAGTGTGCATGTGACTGCATGTGTGTGCATGATCATGTCTGCATGTGAGTGTTCAGGTGTGTGTATGCTTGTATGTGCATGTTGAAGTGTGTGTCTACATGTGAGTGATTATGTGTGTATGCATTCGTGTGTGCATGTTCGACTGTGTGTGTGCACTGGTGAATGTGTGTGTGACAGTGAACCTCATTTGGGTCAAGAGGCAGAGAGCCGCAGAGCTGGGAGTCCAAGAAAAGTGAGCGACAGGGGCCAGAGTGATAGTACAACAGGGAGGGCATTTGCCTTACACACAGCCAACCTGGGTTCAATCCCTGGCATCCCATAATGTCCCCTGAGCAGCATCAGGAGTAATTCCTGAGTGCAGAGCCAGGAGTAACCCCTGAGGGTTGCCGGGTATGACCCAAAACTACAAAGAAAAAGAGAGAGAGAGAAAGAAAGAAAGAAAGAAAGAAAGAAAGAAAGAAAGGTGAGGGACAGGAAGGGGTGACCTCCAATGTGGAGAATTGGGGGGGCCTGCTGGTTCTGTGGCCTTAGGGTGGCTGATAGTTGTGGGGCCACACAGCGCTGGGGTGCTCAGGACTGCAGGGTGGGATCCAGGTGTCACACAGACACTGGTCTCCCCATCCCCATGGGAATTAGTGGCATTTTAAGAGGTGACACCTCCCCGGCATTTAGTAAGTGCCAGCATCTCCTCAGACATTGCTGGCCCCCAGTCTGTCTGCAGACACCTCAGTCACCTTGAGAACCTCTCCCTTTCGCCAGACCCCCAGTGCCTGACAACTGCCCCTCGTGCACTCTTGGGGGCACTGCGGTCTCTGAGCATCAAAGCATTTCCTCAGGAGATAGGTCAGGAATGAGTGAGTGAATGAATGAATGGGTGAACAGATGAGTGAAAAGGGACAGAGTGAATGAATGAGTGAGTGAATGGGTAAACAGGTGAATGAGTGGGTGAATAAATGAGGGAGGGAGTGAATAAGTGAGTGGATAAGTGAACAAGTGAATGACTGAATGAATGAGTGAGTGAGTGAATGAGTGAGTAAATGAGTGAATGAGAGTGAATGAGTGAGTGAGTGAATGAGTAAGTGTGCGACTGAATGAATGAGTGAGCGAGTCAGTG